ACCTATGGTTCAAAAGTGGATTCGAACCACATAAAATGATGGCAATATATTACAGGATGCAATAATATTATGCATGATTATTGCATCCATGCCTCAGAGCGCTAGTCACTTATATTAGTCTTTTTTGCATAAATGTTGATATTTTATTATTGTGCTATCTATCTAACTACTTAATCAATATTATCTGATTCACTTTGATGTTAACACGAATTGATTAGAAAGAATACACATTTTCTTATTAATTTATTCATTTAAAATAAGCTAATGCTTTGAAATCATATTTTGATTTATTATATGCGTATACTCATATTTATGTAAAATGCATCATTTTTAAAAAATTGTTAGAAATGAATGAAGTTTTTTTTTTTTTTTCTTAAATAATCTTTTTTTTTTTTGTCTGCCAATAATCATGCATAATATATAATTATTGGCTGAAGTGGTTTCCATAAAATGCTGTCTAAAGAAGATCTGTATCCGTCAGCACACTGGTCACTTCTGAGAGGGACTACAGCCGTATTGGCCACATGGCTGTAGCGCATCGTACTGCATTGGCAGCAGAAATTTGAGCTTCTGTTGACATCAGTGACACAGCAAATGCTAACAAAGGAATTGCTTGAAGAACAGTTTTGAGTCAGACGCCCTGTAACGTTCATGCCACTAACTCCAAATCACCGCCATCTGCGACTTTAAAATGTGGTGCCAAGTTAGCCCAGAGCGCTAGCCACTGGCCAAACAGGCCCCCCACTAGAGAAGGGAGTGGAAATCTGTTGTGTTGTCAGATGACATCCGTTTACGTCTTGTGGACAGTGATGGTTAAAAGGAACCAAGCAAGCCTTTGGGGCCAATATGTCTGCATTGATACACTGGACCTAAACCAGGAGTTATGGTTTGGGCTGCAATTTCCTCCGAGAACAGGTGCACTTTTGGCATTATCCCACGCACCTTGTCAGCAAATTTGTACACCAAACTAGCGATTTAACCAGTTGTGCTACCATTTTCGATCATTATTCCAGAGGCGTTTTCCAAAGGTATAACACTCGTCCCTCTACGGCTGTTGTGGATCAATGTAAAACAATATCGATTCTTAATCCTTTTTTTGAAGGAATATAAATGTTATGACATCGAATTTAACAGGCCCTGAATTTACAACTAGTCTGCCAGGATATTCCTATTCCAGTCAAGAATTCATTCTATGTGGTTATAGGAGAAGAGTATTGGGCTAATTGACGAATTACATATCATATGTGTTCAATCGGTGACAACTCTGGGGAACGAGCAGGCCAAAAAATAATCAAAAGACTAAATTTAAATCTGCTTATATTTGAATCTGAATAAAGACCAAATTTAATTCTGTAATATAGCCTTATTTATAGAGACATTCTATACCCAGGCATGCGCACTGATCCTACATTTCTAAACATTTACGATATAAATCATGATGAAACTTTTCAGCCTTAGGGCCATACTGACTCCAGTAAGTAGGGCCAAACCGCTAATTTTTCAGCCATTATTTACCTACTACAAGTGCAACTCTGAGCGAGCAGGTTTATGTTTGATTCAAGATATATACATTCCAAACATCGATATGCATTCATATTCTTTTAGCCCAACATAACTACCGAGGGTAACTTGGATGTTCACTAGTTTATAATGTAAGTGGGATTCATTTCAGTTATTTGTTAGTTGTTATGCTTAAGTTAAATTTTCTCATTTACCTAACAAGTCAATAAAACATTTGTCATTCTGTGTTAAAAAAAAAAAAAAAAAAATAAACAGAAAAAAAACAATAAATTCGCCGTCGCGCGGATTAATAACACTGGCGGGCCGTAGTTTGAGACCCCTGCTTTAGATCATATCTTGTTTTATATCAACTGTAAATTTCATTTCAACTAGCCATACTTTTATTTTGTTGTAGTTTATTTAAACAAGTGTGTAGGCTTTATTTTAAAATATACGTTTATGATATATCTAAAAAATATGATCAATTTATTAAATAACATTTTATAAATTTTTCTTTTTCCAGGTACGAAATGATGTTGAGAGCCTGTCTCCTGAGCACCTCGGGCGAGAAATGCGGACTGGAGACAGCTTCTTTCATTCGAAAAGCCCTGCTGTATTCTCCTTCTCTTGGAATGCAAACTTGTTCCAAAGAGTGAGAAAGCATTTCATATTTGTTGCTTATACTGTTACTCTCGATTTAAGATAATAAAATCCAAATAACACTTCAAAAATTGCAGTTTTGTTTTGTTTACTTTAAAAAGTGTGTCATCAAAACATTTTTGTCAAATTGTATTCTTCATCTGATTTTAAAATATTTTATTTTATTACGGTAATTTTATAATTTATTTGTTTAAACGTACTTTTTGAAAGTACAATTTTTTAAAACTTTTCGTAAACAAATGGTAAGAGATATGAAGAAGAAGAGAAGATTTCATTTACATAATATATCCCAAAAATTATTATTTAATTCCTTTTCATGTGTCTTGCCTTACGTCTTTTCACATATGAAATTAATACTAATGATGAACCAAAATTTAAATAATATTTTAAGTTCGAACAAAAAGTACAAATATTAGTGTTTTTTAGATTCAAATTTAGTATTATTTAGACATTTTTATGTTCTACCTTCTAGCCACAAACAATTTGGAATTGTTACTTTCTTTTGCATCCTAAAATAGCTTTACCTGAAAAAGGTAATGTAACCGTGCTTCCTCCTACACACTGGCAAGAGAGCCCTCCTTTGGCGTACAGGGGGAAATCTTCAGAAATCTTTTTTATTCTTTTCTATAAAAACATTATTTAAAAACAATTTCTTATCTGAAAATCCAGATGAATAAAATCATGTTCATGTAAGTCGCAAAAAAATGGAAGGAATTCATTCTTTTAGTTTGATTTCATTGTTATACATTTGAATAGTTTTCATTCATACAGGAATTTTCTAGTGAATTATATAAAGATTTTTTTTTTTCAATTTTTAGAAACAAGATTATTGTAAACATTTTATTTTCCATTTGAGTAAAATACATAAAAAAAAAACTGAAAACTAATAAATTATTAAAATAGTTTTGTATCAATTGAAAATAAAAATATAGTAGAAAAAATATATTTAATATTTTTCATGTAATTTTTTAACATAAGTAATTTTTATAATATTGTATAAATATTTATTTAAGTTCTTTCCACGGGAAAATTATTTAAAATGCTCTTCGTCGTAAATAATCATTTCTAACGTTTTATTTAAAAGTTAAAAATCAAGAATTTCATATATCTTATATTTAAAAGAAAAACTATAAAAGGCATTTATTATCAAAGAATATATTATTTTGAAATCTTTAATACCAAGTTTTTTTGGAGAGAAGGAAGGGCGGGATAGAACGTTAAAATTTTATACGTTTTTAATAATGCACCTTTTATATATACAGGGGGATATCAAAATAATGGCAACACCATAGATTTATAAAGAATCCTTTATTAGTATGGTGTACTATGATTATTTTTTCACAGTGAATATTTTTAGATTGATTTAATTTTATTATTTCGAATTAATGCAATTTTATTCATCAAGAAAACGCTTAAGATAAAAATTATTTAATCTATATATGTATTTAAGGCAATAGAATTTTGTGAGTGCGTGTTATTCTCTAAAGCATTTCAAGGTCTAATGTTTGCTTCATTTAATTCGTTACGTCTTTATTTGGTACATAGCCAAATATCGCGAAAACAATCTTTTTAGTTGCATTTTTACTAGACAAATAATATACCTTTTTTCTTATATTTTTTTTATTTATTAATCATCTGCTTTCACCAGAGAAATAACATTCAGAAAAATGAATGAAATGAATAATTGGGGCCCATATGCAGATTACTTATAAAATTTAGAATTTAATGTTGTAAGAACAAAATGCACAGCAACTTTAAACAAACCAAGTAAGAAAAATATCAATAAATCAATTCAGGCAATAAATTATGTTTAGCAGCTATCGTTCAAAACTGAAAATAGAAAACAGATTGAATAAAAAAGTAAAATATATAATAAATCAAACGATTTTATAAAATGAGTGAAAGAAATTTTTTTAAATGTTTAAAAAATCTATGGAATTCCAAACTATTTTATAAAAAAGCCCGTGAAAAAAATTAAATAAACATAAAAGAATAGCTCGTCGAAGAAATTTAAAAATAATAATAAGAAACATTAAAAATGGTCCAGGACATCGCTGACTCACTCTGCCCAAAACAATAATCAGATATATTTCATGGATAATAATTAGAGGTAAAATACATTATTTTGAATAGCTAAAATTGAACAAGATTTTTTTTTCTACGAATTTATTACATTTTTACTCTGTATATATTAAAAAGATCACTTATTATTCTGAATTTTTTAATCGAATTACTTTTTACAAAACAAAACAAAGCACGCGCATAAGTATATGTATCTATGTATGCTCATCTACATGTGTAGGTATGCACATGTACATATGTGCATGTACATGCGCATGCATGTGTACGTATTGGTATACATATTATATGCAGATGCAGATGCAGATGAACGACCAAATGTGTTTACCTACGTATAGACATGCATACACATACACATGCACATATATATATAAAACATGCATGCATACATACACATGAAATTGCATACATTGAAAAAATAAGCACAGCACGCACATAAGCGCACACACTTACATACATATATATATGTTTGTTGTTGTTTCTTATCCACTTGGCTGGCCAAGCCCACGAACCCATACGTACTCATGATTGAAGAGGAAGGAAGCAGCTTCTGTTGTGATGGAGCACCCGTAGGTAGAAGTCTGACTTTGGATCCGTGACACTCTTACAGTCATAGGGAGACCGGGACCTACGGCTTAAAGTGGGATTCCGAACCACTACAAACAACCATGGCACCGCCGGGATTCGAACCCGAAAACTGTGGCACCGAGCGCCAGAGAGCTAGACACTCGGCCATTCAGGTCCCAAATTTGTGAATGCCAACTGCACGCGGTGTTCCCAGGTGGTCGCCCACCCACCCAAAGTACTGACCGCGCCCAATGATGCTTGACTTCGGTGATCTAACGAGAACTGGTATATTCAGCATGGTATAGCCGTTGGCATATATATATATATATATATAATAATATATATATATATATATATATATATATATATATAACAATTAAAAATTTAAAAATGCTTCAAACTCTTTCTACGATGCTAAAAATTTAATTTGATTTGAGTTTGACTATAGGAGATGATACATTGTCATTGTCACAATGAAGCTACTGACTAGCGCTCTGAAGCTCGGTGCCACAGGTTTCGGGTTCGAGTCCCGGCGATGTCAAGGTTGTTTGTAGTGGTTAGGAATCCATTTTAAACCGGTCCCGGTCTAATATGACTTCAAAGCGTTGGGCGATGGGCTGAAAAAACCCACCCCGTAAAAAGAAGATCTCCTGTCTAGAAATCTGCCAGTAGGGAGCGGCCTTGGCCCACGAGGGGCTGTTACGCCTCTGATGATGATGATGATGATGAAGTCATTTCCACTAGAACGGCTCATATGCTGCAGATTCAGAATTAGCTAGTAACCCATAGAAAAGAGCTGTTCACTTTTCTCTTTTGCGCATTATCATTTCACAACGATTATTCTCAGAGGTAATAAAAGTACTGTCCCCTCCAGTGGAATGGTCTTCCCCACATAAAGTTCTTCAAACGCGCACTCTGCATGAATGTCCGTACCACCTCAGAAAATCACAAAACGCCAAGATAGGCGCATGAAAAGTCTCGAGATTCACCCATCTCCAACTTCCTCATAACATCCCGTGTTAAACTTCCTTTCTTTACGCCAGAGAAGGCAACAAGGTGGACTTCAGTACTTGACAGTGAAGGGACCTTATCAGTAAAATATAATACAAAAAAGAATAATTGACTTTGGAACTGAGATTTAAGGAGGAATATCAATACAAATATATGCGCCCGTGTATTGATGTGTTTCGTTATGTTAAAAGTGTCGGAAATAAAAACGAAACTTCAGAAATTTGTATTAACTCTACTTATATCCCCCGTAATATAATATATATATGTGTGTGTGTGTAGACTGTAGTTTTCAAAACGCGTACAAAGAACTACTTTTATAGGGTGGGGCTGAGGTGTCTAGAGGTTAATTTGAAACAAAAGAAACAGAGTGTCTCTTTTTAAGGCCAACAGCTATTTAATTAATTTTTTATTTTTTTATTTTCAATGGCAGATTATGAACAGTTACAGCAAAAAAAAAAGAACAACGAAAAAAAAAAAACAGATAATACAACAAAACATACTGAAACAGAGTTCATTAATCTAACAATAATGCCAAGTTGTAGATCTTTTAGCTACTAAAAAGTGCACCACGGGGAGGTAGATCTTCTGCGCCCCCTTTAATTAAAAATTAAATTAGCAATTTAAAACAATTAATCATCACAATATTATCTACAGCTATGTACCATAATTAATTATTCTGGGATAGAAAAACATCATCTTCATTCTCTCGCTGCTTGCCGCAGCTATTCCATCTGCCGCCAGTCTCGCTTTTCTTTTATCATCTACTGGAACCTCTTTCCCTCTTCCTGGGTTCAAAGTTCAATGCTCCCCACTTGGTAAGCAGTCTCAGTCAAAGACACATAACCCGTAATGTGTCACCGCCAGCTGATTAGCAGACAAACAAATCCTTTATATAATGTATATATATATATAAAACCAACGATTAATATTGATTGAATTTTTAAAAGTCATAAATCAGAAATGTAAAATGAGCATTAAAAGCAAAAGATACATTGTTAGTAAAAATAATTCCACACAAAGAATCACTTTTATTTCTTATACATTAATTGTTTAGGGATTTTGAATTCTGGGAGCATCCATCATAGAATGTTCTCAAAACCTAACAGAAGACATTCCTAGGACACACGTGCTCGGAAGTTTTCGATTACGAATGAGGTTTGAAAGCGAGCTTTTTCGATTTCGAAATTCAACGCGATAACCACTAGGCCGCTACAGGTCTCATCTGCTGTTGTTTTTTCAATTCCTTCTATTAGCTCACACTCTCCCTATATATCAATCTTGTTCAAATTTCCAATCGTTCATAAAATACTTTTTTATTCCTCCACTCAAGTTCAAATACATTTTTTTTTTTTAACTTGTAGTGGAGGACACTGAATGTTGACACAGTTTTTTCAAATATTAATTCAATAATTAAATTTATTTAATCAATTTTAGCTTTTTTAGATTTTAGTTGCATATATCTACCAATAGATGGCACCAGATAAACTTAAAAAATGAATGAAAATTATTTATAAAGGACTTTCTGCAATATAGTGTGAAAAAAGATGGAATTGATTTAAAAAAAATTTTTATATTACTTGTTTATTAGTACCTCACAATGTCTAATCATGACAAACAAAGAAAAACTCAAAAATTACACTATCGATTAAAAACAACACACACTCTTTTTTTTTTTTTTTTTTCAGAGTTCCTTATCCTCCTACTCTCAGAGTGCCGTATCCTAATCACCCTGAGCTTCTTGATGATGCTAAACCTGAAGCTTTGTTTATAGAACTACCAGATTTGGAGTTATATGATTGGGGAAGACAATACTGCAAAGGTTTGAGAATAAATTTTCCTCAAATATTCAATGAAGATAGAATGTTACAGGAACTTTGCAAGAATATCAAACAAGGATAAATTATGTAAGTAACAAGCAATTCAGTATGAATAGTTAAATGTTACAAATGTAAGATTTATACAATAAGTCGGAATTATTGATGACATCACTAATGTTGTTTTTGTTCTCCTATTGAGTGACGTCATTGACCTTGATTTCTCTCTAACTGAAATTTCGGTAGAAAAACTCAACTTCATAATAACTCGAGTATTAAAATACGTCTATGAATTTTACATCTCTTCTCGTTATGACATTCTTAACTTCAGGATCTCAAAGACGATTGATTATGTGCTCATCGAAGTACCCGATAAATATGCATTCGTTTGATTTTGTCTCAAATTTTCCTTTCTGATTCCCCCCCTACCCTTCATTATAATCAGAAGTACGGAAATAAAAATATAATTTATTATCTGGATGAATTCTATTATTAGCTGATTCGAGACCAGGCTTTCGAATTATGCATTTTATTATGATGATTCTGAATATGTATTCGAAATATGAGATTAAAATCCCTGTGAGAAATATCTTGATGAACTCAGTGAAGAAATATTTTCTTTTATTTTTTGCAAAATTATGCCTATTATAACATTATTAAAATAAACTAAATAAGACCACAGATAGTTAAAATAGAAAAAAAAAAAGGCTATGTAGTCTATGTTATTTATTTTTAATGTTATGAGGCGGTGACAGAAAATTGCATAAAATCTATTAATTTCCCTTATTTTCTTTCAATAGGGCAATTAAAGATGTCTTTTAGTGATGGCTGTATGGATTTATGGGTAAACAACGTAGATTCATTGAAGAAATACGGGTCCAAACAAATTGTATTTTTTTATTCTATAATAAACAAAAAAAAGCTTTTAAATTGATCCTAAAATATATTCATTTCCTTATTAGTATTTCTTGGTTTTTATTAATATTAATATGATATTGTTCCTGCTTCCATATATGAATCGTCAAATCTTACAAACATTCAATGTAGGTTGAGCCAATTTACGAAAAGTTTCAAATTACGTTTTAAATATACAGTGAAACCGCATATGTATTTTTAATTATTATTTTAACCAGTTTTTTAATATTTATAAAAAATTTGCTTATTAAAAGGATTTTTTTTAATAGTAATATAATGTATATTCAAACCTTCCTTTTTATGAAAATAATAAATTAAAATATTTCCATAACAAGATTAGTCACGCATCCATAGTTAGAAATTCGAGAAAAATTAACCACTAAAATAACTACTAATTTTTCTTAACTAAAATAATTTATACTAATTTTTCCTCCAAAAAAGGTTTAAATATATTTTAAAAATTAATCAAACAGTTACTTTAAAGATTATAATGCTTTTTCTGTCTTAAAAACGCTGTAAAAGGATTGTAGAATAACCAATAAATCAAGATCGGTGACAAAGCTGTCCTCACAGAATAAAACGAATTGTCATTCCAAAAATAGACTAGAAAACTTAGAACAAACAGAATTGCAAGAATGTTATAGAAAAAAAAAAGTAAAAAATTGAATAAGAGTAATTCAAGAATAAGAAATAAAAATAATAAGAATGAAAAATAATTCAATCCCACGAATACTTCGAATTACATCTGCCACAAATATGAAAATATTAAACTATTTTATTTAATAATAGAAATAATGGATGTGTTAGCTAGCGGTTACAGAATGTATTGGAGAAAATTGAAATGGAATTTTATAAAAGCAAACTCAATCCATTCTTTTAATATGGCGATTAGTCATGCTGCGGAGGGTACATATCAGTAGTAGCACCCTCTATTAAGCAAATTTGAATGTATTGATGGTACAATGGATCAATAAATACATATTGACATATTAAACTAAAATTTTTAAAAATAAGCCAAAGATTTTACTCAACAGAGAGATTCGAAATTTTATCAAAATAACACTTCCTTGGATGCTCGGTTGCTGTTCTTTTACATTTGCAGTCCTTGAAATGCTTCCTCAGTTATCATATTTAAACGCAATAGATCATATTTGACCAGAATGAAATACAGAACACTGAAATATTACATTTCCTGGGTGTGTCTAATCCTCAGATGTCCTGCAGTGCGGGACGGTTATCCCATGAGTTCACGGTCAGTCTACTCACGGTAAGTCAGTCTACTCACGGATGGAGCGAAAGGGGGCAGCTTCTGCTGTGACGGAGCACTCGTAGGTAGAAGTCTGATTTGGCTCCGAGTCGCTGAAGAAGGAGGACAGTACCTTCCGGAAGGACTCTTAGGGGGAACTAAAAATCCAGCGTTTGCGTATCGTTTGTGAGAAAAAGACTAAAACCTCCCACCAGGCAGTCTGACTAACGAGGAAAGATGCTAAACAGCACAAACGCCATCGAGTCTCCTCGTTTTTTGAAACAGTTAGTACAATAAAGCCGCCAGCTCTTCCGGTGAACGTTA